GTGTCTCTACTATATTACCCTATTTTGCCTCTCTTATCTAGGACTTAGCAGACCCCTAGATGATCCTCCTGCTGCCTCCTCTATCATATAAGGTCCTTGAAAGTAGAGGCTTTCTGCTTTGTCCTCCCGTATTCCCAGTGTCATGAACTGGGAATGTGGTAAGCACTTAGGAAGTAGACATTGACTAATGGCTTGTCTGAGGATTGGTGTGGAGCATGACAGTCACTATTAAATATGAAGGGCCAGGAGGTGCTTAGAGAGGAAGGCCTGACATCCTTCTCCCAGGCTCTGGAGTCCTTAGTTAACTCATATCCTGGTACTTCCTTCTCATTCTTGGCTTCTACCGACAGGAAGGCCCTGCTGACTTGAAACACTTTGACCCAGAGTTCACCCAGGAAGCTGTGTCCAAGTCCATTGGCTGCACCCCTGACACCATGGCCAGCAGCTCTGGGGCCTCGAGCGCATTCCTCGGATTTTCCTATGCACAGGATGATGATGACATCCTGGACTCATAAGAGACAAGCACTTGCAAAGCCACCAAGACCAGCGGGCAACTCAGGGACCACCTTCTGCTGCCAGCAAGACACATGAGATTGGTGACTCAAAGAAGAGGGAGGTGCTTTCCCTCATATAAAAAAACCAGTGCTGGGCTCAGGCTGGCAGGAATGGGTCACTGGGTACCCAAGTGTCTGTAGTTCTGATTTGCCCGTCTTGAGAAATGACTTCTGGCTTTGGTTTTTGTTGTTGTTGTTGTTCTTGCTATGAAAAAATATCCAAGAAAAGTAACGTAAAGAGGATCTACTTGGGCTCACCATGTCAGAGGTTTCCATCCATAGCTGGCTGGCTCCATTACTGTGGTCTTTAGCCAGAGCTGAGTCATCTCGGTGGAAGGAGTGGTACAGAAAGGCTGCTTACCTTATTCCTCCCAGGAAGGGGAAATAGAAGACTGGGCTGGGAATAAGATTTACCTTCAGAGTTATATCCCAAGTGACCAACACCCTCCAAGCGGGGCCACCTTTTTAGTTATCATCGCCTCTACATGCCATACAATTATGAATCCATGAATGGATTAAATCATGTACTAAAAGCCCTATCAGCTGAACATGGGAACCTTCAGAAAACACTTCCGATCCAAACTATAATATCTTTGAATAATGGGGTTACATGACCACAAAATGGTTACGGGTACCACAGCCACCCTTGTGTTCTAAGCAAGATAAAAGGAGGAACAGGACAGGAGTGGGTTGCAAAAGGCCACCATTAAAGAGTTTCCCAGAAGCACAGTCCAGTGGCTTCCTTAGCATGTCATAAATCCCCAGCCCTACTTAGTGGAACCAGGGCACAAGCTACCTCTCATAGCAAGGGAGTTCAAACACTGAGGGAAAGGGGAAAATGTTGCATAGGCAACCCACACGCTGGGAAAGGATGTCCTGGTACCTGAATTTTTATTTCCGTGTGTAAAATGATGAGATGTAGTGTATTGCCTTCAGTTTCACATTTCTCTGTGTGGACAGTCTTTGTTTTGGGTGGTATTAGATGAACTGGTTATTTGTTACTAGGTACAGTTGCCTCAACACCTTTCAATATTCAAGGAATTCCCTGCTTTTGATGCTCGATGGGGGGGGGTGGCTACCTCCATTTAGAATAGCAAAAAAGAAAGAAAAAGAAAAGGGCCAGATTCTGACTGCCTCATTTGCTATGGGATGTCTTTCTGTAAGCTGTGAATATGTGTGGCTCCCATTGGATAATAAATAAAGCTGTATTGGTCTATGGCAAGAAAGCTTACAGCCAGGCAGGAAATCCAAGCAGAGATATAGAGAGAAGAAGGGCAGAGTTGGAGGAGACACTAGCTGCTGCCCAAGGAGCAACAAGTTGCCAGCAGACTGGTAATGCCATAGTCACAAGGCAACATATAGATTAATAGGTATGGGTTAATTTAAGATGAAAGAGTTAGCTAGCCAGAAGCTGAAGCCATAGGCCATACAGTTTGTAATTAATATAAGCCTCGGAGTGATTATTTTATAAGTGTCTGTAGGACCACAGGGCCTGGTGGGATTGGAGAAACTTCTGGCTACAATTGGTGCCCAATGTGGGTCATGAACCCATGACCCTGAGGTTGAGAGTCTCATGCTCTACCAACTGAGCTAGCTGGGCTATGGCATCCTGGGGACTCCTTGTGGCTGGTGCCTCTTTCATGTCATTTCAGGGTCTGCACTAGGAACTGCAGCTGCTGCCTACCCTGGAATCTGCTCAGGACAGCTGTATATGGCTGAACATTTTCATTTTGCTGATTCACAGCCTACTCTCTAGAGCAGGGGTGTGGTCAGGCTGTGGCTTTATCCTTAGATGGTCACCGACTCAATTCGTGGCCACCCATCGTAGGCAGTGGTCCTAGCAGTGTCAGTGGGTTATTTCCTGGCGATGGAGTTGACATGCTGTGGAATCAGACCTTGGCCCAGGCCTGGGACCTTCTCTGTCACTACTCATTCTCCTCTGAGCTCAAGCAAGGCATATAGTCCAGAGATGCATCTGTGCCAACCTGGGCCCAAGGACAGGACTAGGAACTCTCTTTTGAGCTCCTTCTGTAAAAGAGGTGATAGTGAAGATTATAGCAGCCAGTCCTCAGCATACCAGGACTGTGGCTCTGCTCCTGGAAGCCTTGGGGTTTTCTTGGAAGATTTCAAAATCTTTTCATACACTCCTTGTTTACTTAGTTGTCCAAAGTCAGCCTCGGAACACTTCTCTTGGGTGAGTTGTGGAACAGATGTTCATGTCTCTTAGAATTTTCATCCAAATGATCCTATGGTAGTAATTACTCTCCCTTCCTTTGCCAATCAAGAGACAAGGTCAGAGAGACTTCTCCTTGCTTGAAGGCCACACCACTAACACAAGCTGAGATGTGCAAGTATTTGACCTAGGGCTCTACCCTGTAACCTTTGGACAGGTCTGCTCCTCCTTCAGGCTGTTAGGGCCACGAAAAGACTCAGCATCTCTCTTGAGAGACGGGCACAGTGCACATGCCCTTAATACCAGGGAGGCAGGGATGAGTGGATCTGTGAGTTCTAGGGCATCCCAGTCTACATAGTGAGTTCCAGGTAGTCAGGGAGACACAGTGAGACTATATCTCAGAAGAAAAAAAAACCCTTAGATCAAGGCAAGAATTGGCTAGAACAAGCCAGAGGAATAAAGAGGGGTCTTAGAGAGATCCTCACTCCTGGTCTGGGTGTGATTATCAAGTTCATGTGCTTTACCTCAAGTACAGAGCTGAAGCCTTTGAGGTCAATCCCTTGGCTAGCTACTAAACTCCAGGTGTTCAAGATTCATCATTTCAAAAGGTAATTCTGGCTGGCGAGAATATGAACATGTCATGTATGTTCAGGTATGCCCATGTGGGGTAGGTCATTCTGTTTTATTTCAGTTTCTTTTTCACAAACCTGTATCACATACTTCAGGGTGGCCTCATTAGCTTGCTGGTTTGGGGACAATGGGAGGACTTTCTTTGAATCAGTGTCTGCTAGTGATTTCTGTTGCCTTTCCCCCTATACTTGGTCCTACTCCTTTCCTCTCAGGTTTGTTCCCTCTGTCTCCTGCCCTAGGTGAGGCAAGGCTGGGACTTGACTCATAAAAACAAAATAAAACACCGGTAACATTGATCTATTGAAGATCAAAGCTGAGTGAAGAATTACTATTAAGACTTGGTATGGAAAAGAACTGATTTCCATCTTACCCAGTGCAGGTTAACTGCTAGAGATGGGACACAAGGAGAGAATAAGTACTCCCACTTTGGGAGTGTAACTCAGAAATCTGAACATGCTGTCAAGTCCACAGTCAGCTGGTTCTGTTAGATTATAAAAGATTATAAAAAATTATAAAAGATTATAAAAATCACAGAATGTTTCACCAGGACAGGAAATAAAACTGAAGAACAACTACACTATTAAACTGATTTGTTATATCTATGTTTATTGAAATATCCAAGGTTTAAAACATACATCTCTATATGAGTGTGCATGTGCATAAACATGCCACAGGGTACATGTAGAGGTCAGAGGACAACTTTCAGAAATCAGTTCTCTACTTTCATTATGTGGGGCTCAAGGATTTAACTCAGCTTGTCAGGTTGAAGAGCAAGTGTCTTTTTACTGGCTGGGCCATCTCATTGGGCCTACCCCAAGTTTTATAAGCATCATCTATAATCCTCAATAAGAATTTAGGAACTATTCTCAATTTATGGGTGGGACACACTCAGATTGAGCAGCTTGTCCAAGTTCACCTGATACAAGCCATAAGTCAGAAACTGGATTTGAGAGCATCTGACTCTAAAATCTTCTAGCTCCTTCTGCAACCTGGTACAGTAGGAGAAATGCTCCGGGAGGCGCTCTCTTTCTGTTCTACTAGCACTTCTAGAACACACTGACTGTACACAATGGTCCCGTGACTTGCCCAACTCGCTTTCATTTGCATCCTTAATTGCACAAAGTATTCAATTTGGCATGCTATGCAGAGCTCCTCTAGAAAAGTCTCCGGGCTGGGGATTAACTCAATGGTAGAATGCTTGATGTGGAAGGCTCTGGATTTGATCTTCGGTGGGAGGGTAGAGATAATTCTCCTTCACACTTTTCCCCACTTTTTTTCTCCCCCCACCCCTTTCCCACTTTTTAAATTCGTAGTGACCGTAGTTGTGAAAATGCCAGGCAAGTTGTGTATTTTAATATTCTAAATGCCTACTGCTCTATGCAGGAAGACGTATATAAATAAAAATTAAAACCCCTGGGGCTTCTACACTCGCCTGCTCCAAGCCTTGAAACTGCAGCCGCTTTGTACACAAATCCACAGCCCTCTGGATAAAGGCAGAGTGCTCTCCTGAACAGAAGGGTGTCTGTTTTGTGGATGCAGGCGTTTCTCGTTTCCATAGTAACCGTTTGCACAAGCACTTCCCGCTGCCCGAAATGCTTCCCCAAACTCTACATCTCCAACCTCTCACAACTCCCTACGGCAGTTTTTTCTAAATTTTGGTAAGATCTGGCATTGCAGGACTCCTGACTTCCCAACCCTCTCACATTCCGCAACTCTGCAGGTATTTCGGCCTCTCCCAAAGCCTGCCCAGAAGCCCTGCGCCTGCGTCCTGGAGCCAGGCTGGGGCGTGGCTTGTCGCCGCAGGCCGGCCGCGAAGTCCACTCAGTCTCCGCCCTCAGGGAGGCCTGGGGACCCTTGTCGGTCTTTAATGGGCGGCTGTAAGGAAATGAACGAAATGGACTTCTTATTAAAACGTGAGTCCTCAAGCTTAGCTGCTCCCCTCACCCGTGGAAACGGCCCAGGCGGGCACTAGCCCCGCCCCCTACCCATCAGCCCCCGGCGCTCGCTGCCAACTGGCACTGCCAATCTGTCGCTCTGTCGTCATCACACCGCTGCGGAAGTCGCTCGGGGCCCAGAGCCACGCCTTCTCGGCGCGCGGCCTTGGATACCTGGCGGCCTCCGGCCTCAGGTAAGGAGAGGTCGGGTTGCACGGGCCGGCAGGGCGCTGGGCGGCCTGGGCATGAAGACCGCTTCGCCATGCCGCTCTGGGGACCCCTAGGCCAGCCTTATGGGAAACCCGAGGTCGGCAGAGGTAAACTGAGGGCGCGTGAATGGGCTGCGAAATGGTCCTGGAAATGATCTAGACTCTCTAGCTCCTCAGGTTTGTCGTCGTCATGCAGAGATCAAAGAACCCTGGACAAGGCCGGGCCGTGGTGGCATAGAC